GCGCTGAGCGCGGGGAGGGCAGGTGTGAACGGGAGTTGGGGGGGGACCAGGCAACGTCTAATCTAAACCTTCCAGCAGCCTCAGATCAAAAGGGAAAAGGAAGGGCCGTCCTGGCCCTGCGCCTGCCCAGGGCCCAGGGGAAGCGGGACCTGCAGCCCGGGCCTTGCCACGGGGCAGCGCGGGCGCGGGTGCGCGCGTGGGGTCCGCGCGGAGGGGACGGCTCGCTCCGCTAGTGCGCACCGCTGTCCCCTCTGCGGCGCGGGATCCCGGGAGCGTGACAGCCGCGGTGACTTCCAGATGTTCGCCCCTGCCTCCCAGCCCACCGGGTGGGTGCGGTCGACCCTGCGATGGGGGGAACCCAAACCCCGGCCAGATGCGCCCCCGCGTCGGCGCCAGCAGCGCGCACACTGGCTTCAGTGCGGCGGCGCGTGGACCCCAGCAGCGAACGGACGGCCGCAGTTCCCGCCGTGGTCCGCGGTCCGCGCGCGCCCGTTAGGGGCCGGGCCTTGCAGGCCTTGGACGGACAGACGAGGAGCCCCCGGGGCCCCAGGGGCGGGCGCGGCCTTCCCTCCTCTCCGCCCGGCCTTCTCCACCCGGCCTTCTCCACCCGGCCTCCACCCGGCCTCCTCCCCGGCCTGGGCGCGGGGCTCCCCGGCGGGGGTTGGCGGAGGACAGGGGAGGCGCGTGGAGGAGGCCGCGGTGCGGACGCGCCCACAGTGGGCGAGCGGGCGGGGAGCGGACCCAGGGCAGCCCCGCGGGGGCAGGCCCGGCCCAGCCTCACCCTCGGCCTGGTCTCCGCAGCCTCCTCTCCGTGTCCTCCGAGTCCACCCATAGACTCGCCGCAGGGATGGCCCAGAGTAAATCTTAGCCGTGCTGATTCCCAAAATCTTAATTTATTTTTTATTTTTTGTTTGAGACAGAGTCTCGCTCTGTTGCCCAGGCTAGAGTGAGTGCCGTGGCGTCAGCCTAGCTCACAGCAACCTCAATCTCCTGGGCTCAAGCCATCCTCCTGCCTCAGCCTCCCGAGTAGCCGGGACTACAGTCCCTAGGCACTCACTCTAGCCTGGAAAACAAGACGCTGCCTTAAAAAAAAAAAAAAAAAAAAAAAAAAAAGAGCTAAAAAGACCCGAGAGATTATTTCATGCAGGTGCCTCATTTTATAGATGAGGGTCAGAGAGGAAAAGGTACCTGCCCCCGACAAGGCAGAACAGAGACCCACTAGAACCTGGCTGTGCTGAGCCTCCTTCCCTTCTTACCTTGTTATAGCCTTCCTCCCACGGAAGTTAAACATCCTCTTCGGCTGGGTGGCCACACCAAGGAGATTCACTCACATTCTTTTTCCTTTGGCAGTCCCCTTCTTCCATATCCTCCTATGTTTTGGTTTTTCTCTTTTCTTTTTTATTTCAGAATATTACAGGGACACAAGTGCTTTGGTTACATATATTGATTGCCTTTGCATTGCCCAAGTCAGAGCTGCAAGCGTGCCTGACCCTCAGACATTGCACACGATGACAGGGTCTTGCTCGGTCGCCCAGGCTGGAGTGCAGTGGTGCTGCTCAGCTCACTGTAGCCTTGAACTCCTGGGCTCAAGCAATCCCCTGCCTCAGCCTCCAAAATAGCTGGGCCTGTACAGGTGTGCGCCACCACATCCAGCTAATTGTTTTATTTTTTTTTTGTAGAGATGGGGTATCACTACATTGCCCAGGCTGGTCTTGAACTCCTGGACTTAAGGGATCCTCTCATCTTGGCCTCCCAGAGTGCCAGGAATTACAGCATAAGCCACCACACCCAGCCCTCCCCCTGGGTGTGGGATAGGTTCTTACCTATCCCATATAGCAAGGATAGATCAGGGGGCTTTGTACCCTTATCAGTGCATAAAAGAAGGACAAAATCCAGAGAGTCCCTGAATGGCTGGGGTGCCTAGTCTTTCCCAATGCTCGCTGCCATGGCATGTCCTGATTTTGAAAATGTTGGTCACTTGCAACAGCTAAATCCTCCTGCTACTCAGGCTTGTTCCTTCCTTCCACTGCTCTTCTTCTGAGTCGTGTTTGTATGTATGCATGTTGCTCTGGTGCTGGGCAGGTGGAACACGGAATGACAGCGACTGCTGCCTGCGAATCCAGAACAAATCCAGAGTGAGCGGAGGAGAGCCGCTCTGGCAGGCTCTACCTCTTCTCAGGAAGGGCCCCCAGCTCTGCCCGTCACAAGGAAGAAGCCACTGGCTACACCTCTTTCTTTTTACAGAGGGGGATTGGAGGCAAATAGAAGGTGAGTGACTGTCCAAGGTCACCGGGCAAGGCAGGGACACTCTTGGGAATAGGTTTGACTTGTCGCCTGGTTCTCTTCCCACCACACTTCGCTTTTTAAAAATCAATTTTCAGGCCGGGGCCGCGGTGCCTCAACGCCTGCTAATCCTTAGCAACTCTGGCGGGAGGCGAGGCCAGGGGCGGGATTGGCCACTCAAGGTACAGGAGATTCAAAAACCAGCCTGGGCGAAGACCCGTCATCTACCATAAAACAATAGAAAACAAATATAATTGGCCAACTAATATATGAATATTAAAAAAAAAAAATCAGTCGGGCATGGCTGGCATACGTGCCTGTAAGTCCAGCTACTCGGGGAGGCTGGAGAGGGGCATGGGAGGATTGCTTGAGCCCAGGAGTTTGGAAGGTTGCTGTAGGAGCGTAGGCTCGATGCCATGCGCACTCCTCTAGGGGCCTTAGGCCGAAGGAAAGCGAGACTCCAAGTCTCAAAAAAAAAAAAACAAAATCAATTATTCAATGCCCACCATTGGCAGGCAGAAATTCTGGGGAATTAATGGAATACCCAATTTGTGATGGAATCTCTTCAGGTAATGTATTATATATTATATTGGACTAGAATTGTTTGAGAAGGTTTCTTTCAAAAGATTCAGGGCACAAGTCATACCCAGACACTGGAGTACTGGTCATGAGAAGGTCTAGCAGGAGAATAAGAAAAAATTATGCGAAAAGACCAGTAAAACATATAATTCCCATTTTTGTATTTCCATTACTCAAGAAAACATCAATTCAATGTTGGTTTCAGCAGGTTTTATATGTTAGGCATTGCTCTTCAGCACCACAGCGCTGGTCTCTTGAAGGAAGACAGGAAAATGTTAAACCAGATATATTACCTCTTCGTTGGGCTTTTCTAAATCAGGAGAAAAAACGCACGGGAAGGAAAGACATGTTGGGGGCATTCAGGAGGCAAGAAAGGCTAGCATAATGAAAAATAAACTTGAGGTAGACCCGGAAGGCTGAAAAGATATTGCACTTGACACGCAGAGAGCAGAGGGCTGCAGGGCGGGAGGACTACAAGGCTCAGCTGCGGCACTTTCAGCCCGGCCTGGGCAGGAGCCCGCGGGCGAGCGCGAGCGAAAAACAAGGGAGCAGGTGTGACGGAGTTTGGGGGGGAGACCGGCAACGTCTAATCTAACCTCCAGCCAGCCTCAGATCAAGGAAAAGAAGGGGCGGTCCTGGCCACTGCGCCTGCCCAGGGCCAGGGAAGCGGGAACCTGCAGCCGGGCCTTGGCCACGGAGTTTTGCAGCGCGGCGCGGGTGCGGCGTAGGGTTCCGCGCAGGGGACGCATCGCTCCGCTAGTGCGCACGCATTGTCCCTCTTGCGGGCGGGATCCCGGGGAGGCGTGACAGCCGCAGGTGAATTCCAGATGTTTCGCCCCTGGCCTCCAGCCCACCGGAGGTGGGTGCGGTTCGACCCTGCGGATGGGGGAAACCCAAACCCCGGCAGAGGCACCCGCGTCGGCGCCAGCAGCGCCCACTGGCTTCAGGTGCAGCGGGCGTAAGCAGACCCCCAGCAGTGAACGCGTCCGGCCGCAGTTCGCCAGGTGAGTCCGCGAGTCCTGCGAGCGCACCGGTTAGGGCGGGCCTTGCAGGCTTGACGGACAGACGAGAGCCCCCGGGGCCCCAGGGGCGGCGCGGCCTTCACCTCCTCTACCGCACCGACCTCCTCCGAGGCTTCCCTCAATCCCAGCCTCCACCCGCCTCCTCACCCGGCCCTGGGAGCGCGGGCGGATCCCCGGCGAGGGGTTGGCAGGAGGACAGGGGAGGCGCAGTGGAGATGGATTGGCCGCGGTAAGCGGACGCGGCCCACAGTGGTGCGACGGGCGGGGAGGACCAGGCAGACCCCGCGGGGCAGGCCGCCCAGCCTCCACCCCGGCTGGTCCCGCAGCTCCCTTCCGATGTCCTCCAGTCCAACCCCAGCTGGCGCACAGGATGGCCGCAGAGTAAAGTCTAGCCGTCTGATCCTCATCTTAATTTATTATTATTATTTTTGTTGGACAGAGGTCTTCGCTCTGTGGCCCAGGCTAAGAGTGAGTGCCGTGGCGTCAAGCTAGGTCACCAAGCAACCTCAATCTCTGGTCAAGCAATCCTCACTTGCCTGCAGCCCTCGCCGAGTAGCCGGGACTACAGGCATGTGCCACCATGCCCAGCTAATTTTTTCTATATATATTAGTTGGCCAATTAATTTCTTTCTATTTATAATAGAGACGGGGTCTCGCTCTTGCTCAGGCTGGTTTCGAACTCCTGACCTGGAGCAATCCGCCCACCTCGGCCTCCCAGAGTGCTAGGATTACAGAGAGGCGTGAGCCACCGCGTGGGCGGCCAATCTTAATTTCTAAATAAAAACAAAAAACCAATGAGACGAATAGCTATTCTGAAAACAGAGCAGTGTCTGTGGGGCCTGCAGTCTGGGAAGGAGGACAGCCACACCCAGCCTGCTTGTCCCAGCAGTCTGGGCAGGAGCTGGCACGAGTGTGTTTATGAGCTGCTTCTCTCTGCTCACCGTTGTCCCGTTCACTCACAACACGTGTTGAGTATTTGAAAAAAACCCTAATTTACTGCAGAAGACGGTGGGTTTGGGTGTCCTGGTCCTGATACCAGTGAGCCGGGAGATACAGGGTGTAGCTTGGTTTCCTCCTTTATAAATTGGAATAATATATATATTATTTCTTTATAGGGTTCTCTGACTGTTAATTGAGACAGTGTTTGCAAAGAGAAGTGAATTAAGTATGGAACTATTATAGAATTCAGGTTCCTCCATGAACTGGCTGTGCAATTTTATGCTCCCCACTTCAGTTCCCTGAGCCTCATTTTATCGTCTGAAACACTGGCTCAGGGAATTGGAAAATGAAAAATGGCTCTGAAAGGTATGATTTATTTGTATTTATTTTTTTGCAAAAGAGAAAGCTGAGACTCGGAGCAACTAAGTGACTTGCCCCAAGCTCACATAGTAGATAGACAAATGTTAGTACGTACTTCGGTTTGGCTTAGGTTGACACATGGTTAGGGTTTTAATCGGGGTTTTAATCAGTTAGGGTTTTACAGTCACCTCAATATGGCTTTGCAGTTCATCTCTCCGCCTACCTTCAGTTTCAAGGCCAGAGCTGTTCCTCTCAGCTGCCTTGGTCGCTGAGGAAGAAGGAGTCTCATGTGAGAAGCCCAGATCTAAACTACTCTGGGGCGCTGACTCAGTGGCTTCCTGGATTCTGCCCACGGAAGTAGTTGCTCCCTTCTGGGTCTACAGCCAAGGACAAATAAATGTTCAGGAGTGATGTCTCTGCCCAATCGTAGTCAACCTCCTCTCTTCTCATTCTCTGGCTATCTTATTTTCTGCCTGACATTTCTCCAAGAATATCATCCTTTTGTTTCCACTCTCTGTAGAAACTTCTGTCTCTTTCTTCTCTTGCATAATTTACCCATTAGGGTCTTTTTAGCTTTCTCTTCTGGGTCACTCTCTGTCTACTCCTTGAGTTAACTTACCCGGGCACATCATTTCTGTCGTCTCTCTTTTTAAAAAAATTAATCTTGATCAAAGCGATATTTAAAAGATTTAAAAAGCCAAACATTACTACTAGAGTGCAACAACAATAACAAGAAAAACAGCAGTCCCTTGACCCTGACCAGAAACAATCACTTTCAACTCTTTGTTTTCTTTTCTTGGTATTTATACCCTTCTTTATAAATTATGTGCTTATCCTGTTTTTCTAGGTTTACTGGTTTTAGGTGTCGTCTTTTGACTTCCTACCATGGAAAGTAAGACCATGAGGCACAGCTGCAGAGCGTATGGACTCCAGAGAGAAATTACTCGGGTTTAAATCCAATACCTAACTAATACTTAACTTGTATGACCTTATACAAGTTGCTTTACTGCTGTGCATCTCGGTTTCCTCGTGTGTATAACGGATGCTAATAGTAGCTACGTCATACAGTGATTGTGAAGATTAAAAATTGAATATATAATGAGCTTAGAATAACGCCTGGCACACAGTAAGTACTACATAAAATTTATTTTATTGTCATCATTAAACTGGCCTGCACACACTTTCTCTCTGCTTATCCTCCCAATGTCGTTAGACCACCATTTTTGGTTAAATCAATATTAAATATTTACATTATGACTATGTAAATATTATTGCCAGGTAAGCCACATAGAATCCTATAATTATGCTTCATTTCTCCTTCAGCCTTTTGTTTTCTCTGGAATTAATTCTTTTCTGTTTTTGTACTTTGTTTAGTTTTCTATGTGCCTATTATTAATTTGTCCACAAAATCTCCTGTCAATAAACTGAAATACAGGTATTCTCTTGGTTTTGTTATTTTCCTTGGCCACCCTTCCTGGAATTTTTCAGCTTTCCTGTTCCCATGTGGACTGGTTGCTCTGTGGCCCAATTCCCAACTCTAGTCCTGTGAACAGGACATTCTGTTAGTCCCTTCAATACTACCCTCGGATTTATCTTTGCTACTCTCTTTGTATTGGGTCCCTGTTGCCTGGACTATGCATGTGGTGGAAACTGCTGATTTTCCTCTCAAACCTGTTTTTTCGTTCTTCCATTGTAACAGAGTTCACATTTTTTAGCTGTTGCCACCTCCTAGTCCATTCTTTTTAACATTTAGAGTTTATGGGATTTTTTTTTTTTAGTTCTTTATTGTCATTTTAGGGGGTTTCAGAATACAGCAGAAATAATAAACGTCTGCCCATCTTTTACTTGAAGCTTCTATCTCTTCTAAGTAAAAACGAATACATTGGAAAATCTAAATTGCCCAAATTTTATTAGTACTTGTATTAGTGTGGTGGAATTGTATTTTTTCCTCTTCCCTATTTTCTCTAATGTGTTTATTCTTTTTAGAATATTCTAATTGCATTTCTTTTGACTCAGTGATTTTAGTTCTGGGAATTCATCCTAAGGCAATAACCAACGATGTGTGCAGGAAACTTCTACGCGGCGGTTCCCCACAGGGTCTTTATGCTATCAAGTATGGGAAACAACCTAATTGTCCAACAAAAGGAGATTGGTTAAATACATTAGGGTACATTCATACAATGGCATCCTCTGCAGCATTAAAAATTATGTTGTGGGAGACTAATGATGTGTAAAATGTTCATAATACATTGTAAGCTCAAAAAAGATTACCAAAACTATATGTAAAGTATGGTCCCTTTGTGTTTGAGAAAAGAATCTGTATGAACGTATGCACACACGAATAATATGGCAAGGACATAGGTATACATTACAATGCTTACAATAGGAACATTATTAAGCACTTACTACTTGCCGTGTAATGTTCTGAGCCTCCTATGTGGATTATCTCTGTTCATTCTCACAACAATTATGTGAGGTCAATGCTATTATTGTTTCCATTTCACAGATGCAAAAAACTGAAGCTTGGAGAATTCATGTCATCACCCAAGAGCACGTAGAGCCATGATTCCCAGCCAGGCCTGCTGACCTCAGGGCCATTTGCTTAATTGTAATCATTATATACCAAAATATTAAAAGGCTGGTGATGTTTCAAGTGACAGATTATTTTCTTTGTGTGTTTGAGGGGGTGAAGACATAGAAGGGACATTGAAGAGACTGCAATATTTGTTGCAATATTTTCTTTGCAATTAATCAGTGGAAAGCCACGGCTCTGACCACTTGTAAAATTTTGTTTCAGAGGTCTAGGATTTAAGCAACTTGTCTCTAATATATACTTAGGGATGGTACTTTTTGTTTGGTGCTGGCCACATAACATTAGATGATAAGTCATGTGAGGGCACAAGCTGTCCACTTTAATTCAGATTTCATTAGAAACCAAATCCCATAAGAAGATATCTGAGCAACAAAAAGGACACAAGCAAGCCCGACTTCTTTTGAGCAACACTCTGTTGACTAAAGTTCCAGAATCTTTTCTTTTGGTTTGTGTTTTTCCATCATACCTAGTGCAGAGTGGTTTATAAGGCTCTCAATAAAGGCTGTGGACCTGTGACTCGTGCTAAGCAATAATCTGAGAAACCAAGGCTGTTGTCACCAGTGCCCCTCTCTAGGGTGTGTGCTTAGGGCCGAGGACTCTAGACAGCGAGGCTGTGCTTCTTGTGCCACAGTCAAGGCCGGGAGCTCTCCGGAGTGTTCCTGAGATGCTTGTACCTGTCATCCTCTTGGCAGTCGCTACGGGTCCCAGCGGAATCTGATTAAAGGTCCCTCCTGATTTATAGAGTCCACCCCACCCCCGTCCTCACCCCTACCCTGTGCTGCTTGAACTAGATCATTAAGATGCAGCAAGTGTTCAGTATTGTTTTGCAATAAAACTAAATGGGCTTAAAGTGTTCAGAGATAATGCAGTCTTACACTGGAGTATTTATGAAGAGTAAAGATATTCTGATTTGGCTCCAGTCCTAATGTATTTTCTTCCCCAAACTCCACGCATTAAAAACCGTGTTTTTTTCTTTCTTTCTTCTTCTTCTTCTTTTTTTTTTTTATTTCTTCCTTTGTATTTTTTAGAATGCTCCTTCTGCAGTGGTTGCTCTGATTAATATCCTTGTGCTCTCTGAGACCCAGAAAGTGGTTTAGCTTTCCTAGGACACTTTAACAATAGCGTGATTTACAGAGCAATTCGCTGGAGCCAGGGGGCAATGTAATATAACAAAGCATTTTTCACAGGCTTTCTCCCTGCAGTTGCCTCAAGTGCAAAACCCGCTGATAAGAAAAGTGGAGAAGCAGACAACACAGGAACCAAGGTAAATTCATCCAAAGGATAAAAGGCACAGGTTTCCAGAACTCATTGTGAATAATCGAACGGATAGTAGGGACACATTAACCCGGGGTAAACCCAAGCCGAGTGAAAAGCAGGCAGAAGTGGAGTGGGTTGGGGCTCTCCTCACTGGGGTTCCAACCTCAGATATCTGTGCTGCCACCAGTTAGCTACGTCAACTGCAGAGTGCAGTCGATTGTCACCCCCGTCTGTGTCCCCAGCGCTGGGCTGAATACAGCTTCCCACCTCACTGGCTGTTGTCTGGTCACATGCTAAGGAGCAGACCAGAATCAGATTGGCATGCTTCACTGGCGTGTGCTGATGGCATTGTGCGAGGCAAGTGGCCCTTCTGCTTTGCAGAGCAGACATGCCTCCCGTGCCAGAACCATCTCCCAAAGATGTAAAGGAAAGTTTGTTAGGAACCATCCCTCTCGAAGCATTGGTGCCTGGCTAGCAGACGGCACACAGGCAGCCCAGAATGTGCAGGAACAAGGCTCCCATCAGGCTCATGCATCAGGGGGCAGCTCAGTGCAAGCGCGAGAGGCTTGGTCATTCATTAATGCCAGCCAAATGCGGCAGGCGGCCCCCGAGCCTAGGACTAAGAGCCCGTCTTCCTCCCCCAGCTGGAAAAAGTAGCTGCCTGTGGAGTTTTGCTCTGGGCTTGACGGGTGATTCATCTGACCAAGTTTTTTCCTTGCTGACTCCTCACATTCCCAGGCTATGAAAAGGAGGGTTTGAGGAGGGCCTCTAAGTCGATCAGTTGGTGAATGACTCTTGATTAAACAACCACCATGTGTTGAGCATCGGGCTCGCTGTTCTGATCCCTCACAAATAAAAAGAAGACATGTGGTCTCTTCCCATAAGGAGCCCACAGTCTGGTTGGGAAGCCACATAAGTACGTGTAAAACAATTAAAAAGAAAAAGAGATAAAGTGCTGAACTGTATGGTGTTGAGCCTAAATGCAACTGAAGTTGCATTTATAGAGCTAGAGTCGTGCATGAAGTCTGCAAGGGTAGGAGTAGAACAGGAACGCTGGGTCAAAGTGGAAGTCAGGCCGGGCGCAGTGGCTCAGGCCTGTAATCCTAGCACTCTGGGAGGCCGAGACGGGAGGATCGCTTGAGCTCAGGAGTTTGAGATCAGCGTGGGCAAGAGCAAGACCCCCGTCTCTACTAAACATAGAAAGAAATTAGCCTAAAAATAGAAAAAAATTAGCCGGGCACAGTGGTGCATGCATGTAGTCCCAGCTACTCGGGAGGCTGAGGCAGCAGGATCCCTTGAGCCCAGGAGTTTGAGGTTGCTGTGAGCTTGGCTGATGCCACGACTCTCACTCTAGCCTGGACAACAAAGTGAGACTCTGTCTCAAAAAAAAAAAGTGGAAGTCAAATGCAGGCAACATAATAGTTCACAAAGTTTTCTATACTGTGATAAGATGGGGAAAAAACAAGTGAAGAGTCAGCAGCATCGGTCGGCTTGTCCTTCCTTCTGGCCATTTACCAGGTGCGACACAGGATGAATTGCTTGCCGGAACTTTCCTGGTGTGGTAGCCATCCTCCAAGATGGCCCCGGCAATCTCCGGCTCCCGGCATTCACCCTCGGGTGGTTTTCTCTCACACTGTGCCAGGGTTGGTCTATGACCAATAGAATGTGGCAGAAAGGACGGTAGGCCACTTCTGAGATGAGGTTATGAAGGATACTGCAGCTTTCGTCTTTCATCTGGGTCCGTCTCTCCTGCACTGGGCAGGGCCAGCTGCCATGTGCAGCCATACAGAGAGGCCCACGTGGCAGGGCACTGGGACCTCCTACCAACAGCTGGGTGACAGGGCTTGGAAGTGGATCCTCCAGCCCCAGTCGAGCCTTCAGAGGACGGTAGCCCTGGCCACAGCTTGACTGCAGCCTCCTGAGAGACCCTGAGCCAGAACCACCCAGCCAAGCTGCTCCTGGTTTCCTGACCCACAGGGACTATGTGAAATAACACGCATTTGTGTTTTAGGCCGCTGTCATTGAGCACTGTTCCCTTCTGGGCCAACTCCAAGTCCGTACTCTAGTCTTCAGCTCAGGCTGTGCTTTGACCTCTTCGGGCTCAGTAGACATCGGGCGTCTGACTGCAATGTTCTTCCACCTGGGACCAGGTTCAGGGCTGTCAAAACGCCTCTTAGTAATCGAATCAGCCTCTGCTGCAACCCTGGGTTTCCAGGAGTCGGAGGTTCCCCCGGCTGTGGGAACACCAAGCAGCGCCACTGTGCGCTGGGCAAGCGTGGGTCCTTAGCCTGCTGATTGGACATGACGTGCCACCTCCTCTGTGGTTTGTGAAAACCACCAGCTGGAAAATCTGCTGAGGAATGGCATCCCCAACCGTCCCTCAGTGGTGGACAAGAGAATGTGAGATGCTCCTTCAGAGACCTTTCGGCGGCTTTGTAGCTGGGAGAATGGTCTCGATCAGGAGTCTTGAAGCTGCCCGCAGGCATGATGGCGAAATCCTGCCATTGGCAAAGCACTTGCTGAACACGCAGTTTTCTTTTGGCCAAAGCTGAGAATCAGTAACGTTCTCAAAGTGACCGGACCACGTCAGGCTTTGGGAGGATAGGAAAGAGCCAGGGTGGGAAAGCCCTGTGGACCACGGGGCAGAGAAAAGAGGATGGTTCTGTATCGGAGACCCCTCCCCTCATGGCAGCACAATTGGCTTCCCCTTCCAGTACTCTCTGCTCTGGCGGGAGGCAAGGCCATCATCGCCCAGCTTTCTGAAGCCCTGGGAGGGAAGCGTTTTGGAGCCTCCACAAATCTCCATCCCCTTATCCAGTCACCGTGTCTCCTTGAGAACCTTCTATTTCTCCAACCTTTCTCCCATCCTCCGCCGCCCCTGCAACCGCCTTAGTTTGGGCCTTTGTCATTTCTTGCCCAGATTGTCACGGTCGCCTTACACCTGGGGGTCAGAGTCATCTTTCCAAGACAAAGACCTAATAACATAATTAATGCCTTTGCTCAAAAACCATTCAGCATCTGCAGCCCATAGGATGTCATCCCAATTCTTGAAGATAGTGCGCAGAATTCTCCTAGCTCTGTCTCTAAAAAAATCGAAATGGGCTTTACCCATATCACGTAAAGACCTTGGCTTGCGTTCTGGTTCCACCACTCGTCAAGTTCTCTAACCTCGGTTATCTCTTTTGTAAAATGAGATCATCGTGCTTGCCTGCCAGAGAGCCTGGCATGTAGTAGACATGCCTCAAATAATTGCTGAGCGAGTGTGTGTAGTATACATAGACACAGGAACATCCCTTATAGGTGGTGGCAGTGTTAGAGTGAGTCTGTGTATTAAATGACCCTCTTTCTTAATTATAACCATATTACTATCAGTGTGTGTATGTGTGTTTTAATCGGTAGTTGTTTTATTTTTACTTTTTTAATTTCAATTAAGCAGCAGTTATTGGACAATTTCTTATATCCTGTGACGTCTATCTTTTCAGTCATATTCAGGCATGACAGTCATTCTTCAGTCTAGTCCTTGGGTGATTTGTTTTCTCTTCATATAACAGTATTTTCGTTCCACTCCTGGTGAATATTTTTTGTTTGTTATTTTTTTTCCCTACATATTCATGAAAATCTTTTTGAACAGGAAGCCTGTTCTCCTGGGTACTGTCAGACCTCTCGACCCCTCTCTTCTCCTCACAACGCTCTGCGAACACACTCTTCATACGGTCACGATTTGATAGAAATGTGCTGAGTCCATACCCATAGGTCGCTCT